AAAGGGGAGGATAGCTGGTTTAGAGGAAGAGACGTTTATGAAACATGAAAAGAAGCATGATGAAAATGAGAGGAAGAGGCAGAGGCAAGTAAAAAGTGACCCCATGACATCATGTACATTTTTTAAAAGGTTGAATCTTTTATTTGTAGGCTGAACAAAATTCTAACTCACTTTGAAAATTTCAATTAAATTGTTTGAACACCAAATTAGTTTTTTCAATGTGACGTTAACAATTTATATCAATTGTGACGAATGTGTGAAAAAAATGAAATTTATGTGTGTAGCCAATTGAAGTAATTTTTTAAGTTGCTCCAACAATTTTCTTTTTTCAGTTTATAGCTCCAGATCACATATTCATCCCTTTTTCAGACTGTAGATTCAGATTAAAAACAGTCGTCCAGTCAGAATGTGAGCACTCTGTGTTACACCCTGAAGCCTCTCCACTGACATAATGAAAAGAAATTAAACTCTGTCAACGCCACAAGCAAGATTAAAGCAAAGTTACAAAACCCGTTTTCACACCTCTCTGGATGAATATATGCAGAGCTCTGGGGCACATGCATGTACAGCAGATATCATCAGCATGCTTTGTTTTTTGTGGGACCTCCGCCGATCTCTCAGTGTCTGGTAGTGATCAGACGGCTCTCCTGGTGTCCTGCCTCTCTCCCCTGCTTCTCCCCTTACACCGCAGGTGTCTTTTATTGAGCCAGCCGTGATTTACTGTACTCCAGGTTTCCTCCCTGCTGCTGCAATCAGGCACTATGTTAGTGACAGGTTAAAGCTCCAGGTCAGAACATTTCACGCACGCGCTTACAGCAGAGAGCAGAGTGCGTCTCTAATAGGTGGTCATTATCAGAGAGGTTTGGCTTTTAGAGGGAGGCGAAACAACAGGAGTTTTTTTTTTTTACATGTTGAGAGGTTTATGGAGGCTCTGCGGGCACAGCTCAGGTCTGAGGGTGTAATAGTATACAGTGGGCGCAGAGATCACTAATCAGAAACACATTCATGTTGCCATGGCTCTTTTTTGTGTCTCCTTTAGAAATATAACAATAATAGTAATAATAAGGTCTTTCAAAGTAATACAGAGGGAATTACTGTATTATCTATGTGGCCTTACAAAGCCAGGGAGGTGCAACTATGTTGACGTTAAGAGTTTGAGAGTAAAGTTTGAAGACTCGAATGGATGGATAGATGGATGGATGGATGGATAGATGGATGGATGGATGGATGGATGGATGGATGTACAGTTATCTACAATGTTCTTACTTTTGTCCATTCAAACTAACTGAGCCCGTTGAACAAATAATCTTTTATGAAATACTTAAAACAGTGAATCAAATGTATCTTAACCACATGAAGTCAAGTGGAATGTAAATTCTAGATTAATTAGCAACAGGACTATTTATTTAGTTTATGAATAGATTCATGTGGATTAAAAAACTCAATGATTGAGATGTAGAAGCTTCAGAATGTATTTTTAATAACGGGAAATTTGACCAAATATATATTCACTGTGTTCTGGCTTCATGACAGTAAAATAATGATGTTAATGTCATATTTTCATTGTGAAATACAATAATGAATAAAAACTCTTATAATGTCCCTGCTTCTGGGCACAAGCCTGTTCAATGCATGTTATAGTCAGTGAACTGACTTTGGTAGTGGCAGCCTCTGTTTCTATACCTCAGACATATTAGCAAATATTTATACAACCAGCAAGCAAATAACACCAACATTGATTTGGAGTGTTTCTTTACGCCCAATTAATGCAAGTCCAATATTCACTTTCCTTTTAGCTCTGTAATTGGTCCTCACCCTACCCTTCTTCAAACAGTATTTGGTAAAGCAGCAGCAGCAGCAGCAGCAGAAGAATAAGCTGCTGGAAATAGTAGTTGACTCTGGCTCTATGGGCTGAAACTGCTTCAGGAGGGCTTACTCACTTAGCTGAATGTGAACAACTGGAGTGCAGAGGACCAGGTGATGAGACCTCTGCTTCTCCCTGCTGCAGACGTGCAGCCTGATGGACAAATCAAAGGCTTTAATCAGCCAAACAAGGAAGAATCTCATGCCTTGCCTTTCCAAACATGCATAGAAATGTGCACGTATGCAGCGTTGGATCTGAAACTGTACACACACACACACACACACACACACACACACACACACACACACCATCGGTGAGCATGTCTGGTGCTCCTCAGGACCAGTGTCCCCCTCCCTCCTGTAATCCTCTCTCCACACTTCGGCTCCCCAAAGCACCTCATCCCTGAAAAGGCTGCAGGCGTTGGGCTGTAAACGGCTCCAGAGTACCGAGGTGAAATAACCCAGCAGACGGGCCTATATGTAGACTCCCGGCTCGCTAATCTAAGTGGGGCTAAACACTCCCAGCTGTGGCATTAGTGACTCAGAATGGCACCTCTCCTGAGAGCCGGCGAGGATCTGTAACCCTGCGTTCCACCTCACACCAGGTCTTAAATCAGCTCTGAGACAGAGGGAGCGGAGGAGTCAGCACAGTTTGGTTTTAGGTTGCAGTGGTGGCGTGCACTCTGTCTGTCTGTCTGAATTATGCTCAGTCTGTCTCTCCATGTCCTCTTGTTCCCTCTCCCACCCCACTGTGTCTGAAGCCTCCCCCCTCGACTGTATCACCACAGCTGGAACATGCAGTATTGCATAAATGAAATAAAAAGGTCTTATCGTGACCTGTGATCCTGAACTTTTTGTCAGTCTTCCATCTCGCAGCGCAGACAGAGTTGCTTTGACTGTTAAATAAACATGGTGCGCTACATATCGGTGAGATCTACGAACAGCACATGCTCAAAGTCATCGCTATGTGCGCTCTGCATCGCTGTAGTTCACTGCTGAGGTTATACAAAGCTTCTTAGAGATGGCAGATGTGGTTTCAAAGATGCTGGAGGTATCAAACGGTTGTTCCCCCTGACTTACCTTTGACTTTTACAAGAGAGAAAAGTAAAGGGGGGAATTCAAAAGGGCAGAAAAAGACAGAACACAACCCATAAAGTTAAAGTTGCAACAGAAACACAAGAGGAAAGTGGTATTTGTGGACTAATTTGGCTAAAGTGAGACTTTGCAGGAGGCTGCTCCAAAGTAACAACAGTTTTAGACTTTAACTATTGAACCATCAGAAATCCCCTCTCTCCTTCACATTTGCTGATTGTAACCTTTCAAGTTTGGGGTATTGCTACTTTACTTCAAGTCATTTGAAATGTAGCATATGTATTTAAATAAAATTTAGAATGATGACAATCTAAATGAATGAATGTAACATACACTATAGACAAGACATAATTAAATGGCTCAGAAAGCATTTTTGAACACCTAAAAATTCATGTCGATGTGGCAACTGTCGCCACTGCAGAGGATTCTGTGATATGATCAACATCTCCAGAACAAATGCTAATGAGCCGTGACGCCGTTTTTTCAACTGCTGTTTCTTCAACTGCTGTTTCCAAGATAAACAATTAGCTGTCATTCTTACTTTTAAGAGTAGAACAGAGCCAGTAATTTGAAGATGATATACTGAGGCCCAGAGAAATTCATTTCTCGATAACCACAGGGGTTGGTCCAAAGAAAAAATATTTATTTATAAATATTTATGCAAATTTTTCAAGAAATTATTTGCTTTGTTCAAGTGAATTTCTTCTATGATAGATGTTTACATTCTTTACAGCCAAAGTTTCATTTGGCTCTGCACCAATAGACACTGTCATAGATATCAGTCCTTTTTATGTCTAATTATTTTCAAGATTCATGAACAATTCTCTGAGAAATCAGAGAAAATGTTAAAAAACAAATTGTGGATCCACCCTCTGATTCAGATCCACACCAGAATTGAATAGGTTCTTTCCAGACCTATACCACATCCTTCCACCAAGTGTTGTTATATTCCATCCAGTACTTTTTTGTGTAGTCAAAACAATCAAGAGAGTACAGGTTAGATTATAGGATAAATAGGGGATAGGATCAATATAAGGGTACAAATAGGATATATATTTATATTCCAAGCCAGTCCAAATGATATGCCTATAAGTACAATAGAAGAGTTTAAGGTAACTGGAATCATTCCCCTTCATTGTAATGGCTGTGAAGAGAATCTTTCCAAATGTTACTTCAATGTAACACATTTTTCAGTACAACAATTGTCTGTTAAGTATAAAAACGTTTAAATTATTTTTCTGTATCTTCAGCCACAGAAGCATAGCTTTGTGCATGTCCTTGTCGTTCTATTGGTTGGTTGTTTCACAACTTTATTCTACACTGAAATATCTCAACCACTTTTCATTGAAATGTTCATAGTTCCCAGAGGATGACTTGATGACGGTTCATTACACTGAGCACCATGTTTTTGACGCTCAACCCTTTACCTAATCTCACATTTACAGAGTCACAAAGGAACCTGATGACTTCACGTTATGGGCTCTCTGCAGCCGGCACAATCCTGCACCCTGCACGTACTATATATAAACATCTGCATCCATGACACTTCTTATCACCTGTCCTGCAGCTCTGTGGTTTTTGTCTGGGACCTCCGCGAAGTGCTCCCGCTATGCCTGGTTGCCCCTGCTTGTACGTGGGCCACTGGAATAACCTTGAAGAATGCCTTTGTCAAGTCTATCGCAGACGCTGGCTTTTGTTGTTGGACTGTGGCTGTTTGCATGGTCTTTTGAGTCGACAAGCCACCACCGGCCACACTAGCTGGCAGAAAACACTGGTCTTTTACTGGAGCAGCAACAAACACCGTCCTCGGGCATAGAAGACGTGATTTATGTGACTCAGGGGCCCACAGCACTGTTTTTTTGTTTTTGTTTTACAGTATCTGGACAATTGTGAATGTATAGACTTCATATCGCCCGCATGTTGCGCCTTTTAGTTTATGTTAGTCTTTTCAAAGGGAGTTCTGGGAGGAGGAAAGTTGGCACAGTGAAGGCTTGTTCTTGGTCTAACATTCCTCTCTCACTTATTCTCTCTCTCTCTCTCTCCAGGTGGGAGCAGATGCAGGGCTCGGAAGAAGGATAGACAGGAGGTTACCTCTGTAATGTCAGCAAAGGCCAAGGTTTGTCAGAAACACACGTTGATGCCAAAAGAGCTCCATGAAACTCTCCTCTTCCTCTGCATTTTTCTTCCTCTTATCTTCTGTTGCTTCTTCTACTCTCTATCCATCTTTTTATCACTCTTCTTAATTGCCATCCATTTATATGAAATCACAATCTCTGCAAATAACCACCAGCCGGCTCATTTTTCATTTCCACTGTACAGACCTCTATAAACCAGGGGGTGAGTTATGTGTGTGTGTGAATAGTTAATGAAACCCATCCCCACAAGGCTCAGACTTGAGCTTTCCATAAAACCATGTCAGCACTGATACTTTCATCGCTAGATTATAAGCCAATGGACAGAAAGCAGAGTTATTGAATGAAGTATTGCTGAAATGGAAGTGAGATCACTTTTGATGAAATAGGCCTGAGAAAGATATTTTAAAGAGATACATGTTTTTTTTTATGTTTTTTTTAAAAAGTGTTATCTCATCGTCTTTATCTATAAAGCACTTTGCCAAATAAGTTATTTTGTTATCACAACTGCTACTATTTTAAATTGCATATTGTACCTATAATACAGATTATCAACACAAATCTAGGAATAGTATTTTTGGGATTTGTGTGTATTCGTTTGTGTATTTGGAGTGTTAGGTGAGAAGCTTGATACCACTGTCGTGTCTGTCTGCTAAATATGATGCTACAGATGCAGCTTGTTAGCTTAGTTTAGCATAAACACTGGACATAGGAAAAAACTGTTAATAACCTTTGTTAGAAAAAGAAAACTATACAATGTGATCTTTATCCACTCAACATTTAATCTTAATACTTTACAAAACGGTAGTCGCCAATGTTGCTCCGCCCACAAACATTTGGCCAAAAATGTAGACATCATTGGTGCAGCTCTGTTTTCTATGAAATAATCTTTTTTCTTTAAGAATCCCTGGCTTATTCCCTCCTTTATTCATTTATTACGCCAACATTAACAGAGAAGAAAGTCCGATTAATGACCCCTCTTATCTGTATCCTGCAGGTGCTGCTCTGGGTGCTCCTCTCTCTGCTGCCTCTAGTGGAAGGAGCTCATATGAACGCTGGTGCTGCCGGTGTGGCATCGGACTCGGGCCGCGCTGTGGGGCTGCTGGGAGGGCAGGAGGAGCGAGAGCTTCCTGTGACGTTACCAGAGGTCTTAGAGGATGAGGAGCAGGAAGATGACAGTGACCCTTACTCAACTTGGCACGCTCTTTATGGTACTGAAGCTCTTATGAAGGAGACATTTACAGCACGTCTGCCTCACTGCAGTATTAGCATGTGGCTGGAGATCTGCTCTATGTCTCAGTCATCTAAATATATGTGAGTTAAAAGGTGACCAGTTATTCTAGCTTTAAAGGGATGTGTTTGAGTCCATGAAACACTTTTGGAGTTTCAGGGGTAAACATTTCAAACTGGAAAAAAACAACTGAAAAGAAAAATGCCTCCATACTCTCCTGTGGTGTCATCCAAGTGTCCGTAAGCCCAGAAATGCAAGTTTGACTCGAAACCCATCATTTACACCAAGTTTTTAAGTCTAAATCTCCTCTGATACTCTGGAGCTGGGTTCACATTCGCACGCACGCACCGCACACAGTGCCCACTCCAAGGACGTGCAGGAGGTCAGCAAATGCATCATTACTTCCGGTAGCATGGTGCCATTTCACGCTGAATATAAATGAAGGGGCTTTTGGACACTTCGCTGACACCACAGGTGCAGTATGGAGGCATGTTATGTTCTGAAGAAGTGCTCCCCAGTTACTTCAATTGTATTGGATTTAGCTGCAACAGTGTTTACCCCTGAAACTCCAGGGACTCAAACACTTCACCCACCCCTCCATCAGCACAGTGGTGAGGAGATAATGACTTAAGCTAAAGTGCAGGAAAATGTCATTGTTTGTAATTACTTTGAATAAATGCTTTCATGCCAACTCTCTGTTTAACACTTCTATTTCCTGTCTGCTTCAGACCCATTTGTAATAGATGAAGTGGATGACCATCCCAGTAGTCGCTGGGCAGGGCGTTCTCCACGCTCCTCTGACCCCACAGAGCCTCAACCCAAAGGATCACAGAAGAAAAAGAAGAAAAGGAAGAGGAAAGACAAGGAGGAAGTGGAAGAGACGGGGAAAAGAGATAAAAAGGGTAGAGGTAAAAACAGGCGGCCAAAGCAGAGCAGCAGGGACTGCCGGGTGGAGAAGAGAGAGATGAAGGTTCGGGACCTGGGCCTGGGGTTTGACTCGGATGAGATTGTCCTCTTTAAGTTCTGTGTGGGCTCCTGTCAGTCCTCAAGAACAAATTACGACCTGGCGCTGAAGGCACTGCTGGAAAATGGGTCGCTGCCCCGGCGCAAAGTCAGCAGCCACCCCTGCTGCCGGCCCGACCGGTACGAGTCGGTTTCCTTCATGGACGCCCAGACCACATGGAGGACCATCCAGTCTTTATCTGCTGCCAGCTGCATGTGTATGGGCTGAAAATACAAACAAGGGAGAGGGTCCTTAGAGCCGGTGTCATCAGTCCTGACGGGAGAGGTGTCGAGAAGCAAGTCCTGGGTATAAGGAGGAGGCAAGAGGGGGTGCTGTCATATTCACAGAGCAGAGGAAATACCGATGGCCGCTCTATGGCTTCCTGTGGTGCATTTCCAGATGAGGATGAGGAGGAGTGGGTGCAGCTGCATGATAGAGGGCGAAGGTCAAAATCAGAGATTGAGGGGGAGGTCAGCAGAGAATCACAGGCTGGATTTACAGTCGTCTCATCAAAGAATAAATTGTAACTGGTTACAGCAGGATACAGCAGAGCAGTCATTACTCACAGAGGAGACTTTTTATGTGAACATGTTTTGATGTAACATGGGCGAGACAAAGCTCAAGAGATACAGAGGAAAGACGCAGTTAAAGGACTGACACTGTGTTTATAGACTGAAAAGACTGATATGATGTTCACTATTACTCACAGTGATGCCAGAAGTTCAATACCCCCCCAACACACACAGACGGGGACATTACATTGTGCCGTTTCTATGTTCAGGTGAACTCAGCCAAATGGATGCCATGCATCTTCATGTATTACTGTATAAAAGTAAAATATATTTATTTCTGATAAATTATTTATTTATTATAGCTTCATATGAGAGCTGTTTTTATGAACTCTATATTGTAGATAAATATCTATTTATTGCCTCAGATTTTCATGTTGACAGTTACTTTTGCTCACAGACAGTACGTACATATCTGTTAAAGATGCTGATTTTCACATTTGTTAAACACCGCTCGAGCCCGAGCTGAATAGCAGATTCTAGATTCTAATGATTGGATACACTTTTCGGGGATTTATCGATGGATTAAATAAAACAAAGTATACAAAAGTGCAGATATTATCTAATATGGCACTTCAGTAACAAATTGACCTACATTGAAACGATGTGGTAAACTCAAGAAATATTTTTCCTCGAGACCATCTCACATACTTGGGAGCAGATCTCAGGTTTTGTGGTTACTTCTGGATAATAACAGTTTTTCCCACAGATAAACTGAAACGAAAATCAGCTTTACATCTAGAATGTATGTACAGCAAACAAGTAAAACATTTATACTACAGTACCTCAACGTTTCTCATTTTAAAGTTGTGTCGCATTATTATTATTATTATTATTATTATTATTATTATCACATGAAGTTTCCTTTATTTTTGTATGGCATTATCCTCCAAGGGAATAAAGTTTTTTAAATATACATATTGTTATCGCTGCTACTTTACCCATTGCAGATTCAAAGTGTTTTCTCCGTCTCCAACTGACCTCCACAATGACTTATGTGGTATCAACAGCTCTACTTTTTCTTTTCCCCGTTCAACTCACCTGAGACATTTAGTGTTGTAGCGCCACCTTTTGGCGTAAATAATAAGTAATATGTGCTCCTGTGGTCACCAGTTTGAAGTGAAGGAAGTGGCTCTCCTGCCACCTGTCTGTCAAAACTGATTAAAAACAGGTCATTGGTCTATAACCGACAGAGCAGGTACAATGTCTTTAGTGTCACTTTATTCTCTGCACAGACCCACCAACAAATCCAGTAAACACCTAAACACCACCGGTTAAACCAACAATAAATATATGTGTTTTTATGTTCTTTGTTTTTAATGATATGGTTACGCTGGCTGTTTACAAGTCCACATATCAAAACATTATATGGAAATGTGCAATATAAAAAAAATGGACATGGTTCAGGAGGTCTACATTCAGTTTTCCCTGCATCATGCAACACTGTCGAATGGCACTGAGCAAATTAGCAGCATGTAAAAAAAAAATAATTGAGATCCAGGGTAAGGACAACACATCAGGAATAAACCGTGCCATTCTCCAAATGGCACATATGAATTCATACAGCGTATCCAACTCTTAATAGAGTCACACATTTGTACCCACGGGGTATGATGATAATACTTAACATACATTTCCATGGTTGGAAATGGTCACCACAGGCTTCATCTAATGCTGACCGTGGACTTTCAGTAGAAGTTAGAAATCAGATCTTTCTACAACTACCAGAGATACTGTGCAACTTTTGATATCTACTAAGTTTACTGTGAACGTAATGATTCAAGTTAAGTTGAGGCTGAATCCAGCAGTTTCCTGGGCCTCATGCGAACACACACAGGTAAACTAGATGTGTCATCCTGCACAATCTGCTGTGTTGAATGTTCCTTTAAAGCATTCGAATTCAATTCACAGAAAATTCTGCAGCATTAAATCATATCAGAGATGTAAAGTTTAGAGTTTATCACTGACAGCATTGATTTTGCCCACAGTTAAATGAGTAAGATCCACTATGCTGTGGAGACAGAGTAGCTGCCAGACTTTTAAATATTTTTAAACACGTGATGACAAATGTCCATCAGAGACATTCCTGTGACTGACAGGAGCTCGGTGTGCTGAACGTGCATGTGACAATGTCTACTCTCCTGACGTGCGCAGAGAGCGGCTGTGTCGAGCTGCGTCCTGGAGACGACTTGGCCGCCACCTCCTGTTGGAGATCAGCCTCTACTTCCTCATCACACCCGAGGATGGTGGTCGACTCCACGCTGAACGGGTGAAAGTTGACCCGGGCGGTGTCGTACTCCCACGCTTGTCTCATTGCAAAGTCTGTGAAGGACTGAATCTTGATGGACGCCTGCTGCTCCAAGTCGTTCCTGTAGCTGGCTGTGCGTAATGACGCGTAACTGGTGTCGTTGCTGTTTAAAGACGGTGGGGAGTGTTGACCTTCTACCCAGCCCATGTTGCCTCTGCGACCATCCCTGACGTGCGCCACCGTCCTCTTCAACCCCTCGCAGCCCTTTAGCAACAGGTTTTTCCGGCACAGAATGTAAACCCAGGGGTCTAATATGGGGTTGAATGAAGCGAAGCGGATCGCCAGCAAGTCGCTGCGGTAATCAGGCTTCCCCCCAGCAGAAATATAGGCAGGGTCATACAGCTGGTTGACGAAGATTCGCACCTGTCAGGGTAAAACCACGAGGAAAGAGAATGTCAAAGATTATGTTATAATATTAAATGAAAGAATAACTAAACTTGTTTGGCACATACGGCGTGCGTAAAGGACTTTAGTTCTTACCACTAAAGGGATGGAGCAGACCAGGAAAACGATGGTCATGAAGATCAGCAGCCAGAACATTTGGATCTCCGCCGCCGAGGTGACCGTAGGCAGCCGGGGGAAGAGGCGACGTGAACCTCCTTGATCACACGACTCCGTCCGGACTATCCCCGTCCTCTGGTTCATCCCCACAAGCGACCTGCACACGGCCAAGTTACACAACACTGTCACTGCTATCAGCACCAGCATCACGCCGCCATACAGGAAGGAGTAGCAGGCTCCCAGTGGATCCATCGCCCTCCAATCCAGAAAACACCAAGTCCCGGGAAAGTGTCTGACGTGCTGCCCGAAGCCAAAACTGGGCATAATGCACAAGATAATGTTAGCGAGGTAGGTGACCAGGAGCGCAAAACGCGCCATCGTCCGGTCTATGTGCTGGGAGTAGAAATACGCATGGTTTATGGCCAGGTATCGCTCCACGGCCATGGCGCACAGGATGGACATACCTGCGGACCCGAAGAAGAGCATGGAGAAGGAGAAGAAGTGGCAGAGCAGCGCTCCTCCAGGCCAGCGGTTGGCGACATATGTGGCGATCACCACCGGGCTGGTGAAGCATGTGCCCAACAGGTCCGTGATGGCCATCCCGCAGACCAGGGTGTAGAAAGTGGTTTCCTTCTGTTCCTTTTTGGAGATGCACAGCACGGCTATGGCGATGAGGTTCCCCAGCACCCCCACTGCGAACATCGTGGCTGAGGTGACCAGAGACTTGGACTCGAGCTGGAGCGAACTGTGGTTGTGGCTTAGAGAGAGAGAAGGCTGCAGCGGCTCAGAAACATTAGCGTCCAGTTCTCCAAACACAAGAGAGTCGTTGATCATTGTTAAAATCAATTACGCGCAATGGATGAAAGTGCAAGAACTTTACAAGGAAAGCCAACGCGTTGTAGAAATGCACAATGCTACACTAACTCAACCACCATGAAAACAGCCCTAAAGTGCACTACACTGGAGTGAATCTTGTCCATGTCTTGTTTCCAGCAGTGTGTTTGTGTCTCGATGCCCACATGAAGGTGTGTCTGCTGCTTGTGTTTACACCGCTCGGTGCTGCGGGGTTTTTAAGCTGTGTGCTGATGTCAGGGCAGTGACGTGCGGGCTGTGAGCGCGGCCACCGAGATTTCCCAGGATCACATTTGAACTGCCTGGGTGCTGTTGGGTGCATATTTACAACTGAGAGGATAGATGTCTTTTAATATGAGAACTGAGGAAGGAGACTTGGAGAAGCACACCTCCAAGGCGGATTATCCATATCTGTACACAAATTAACACAAAGTGTCAGATTTTGTTCTCATAAATACATCTGCATTATGTCTTGAAACATATTTTAAAATGTGGAAAATCAATCATAAACAATGTAAAAGAAAGTGGGGAAAAAATCCACACCAATTCAATGGCTTCTTCTCTGACACATAACACACCCTGAGGTAACTTAGCCTGTAATAACGTGGATATGTTGATCAGAAAGAAATAAAAGTAGTTTCTGGAACCATATCTGGCACAACTTACTAAAACCATGGAATTGGTGCGGATCATGTCACAACTTCAGCACCAAGGTCAACGCCTTTACCACAATCAGCACCATGAACAGAGGCAGTGGACACTGCTGCTATGAACCCTGCTGTCATCCATCGATGCATCGGTTAAATCGATCATCCATAGAGCATCGGAGCAAAACAGGAAAGCGTGCTGCTAATTGGAAGACATAAAAATGCACATACTAAAAACAATAGGTCACACACTAGTGAAAAAAGCTTCTATATAAACTCATCGATCGCATGGACCACACAGAAGAGGGCCCATAGGGACAAAGTGTCAGTGCTATTTATTATCCACATTGTATCTGTGGAATATTTCTGGCCTCTGGGTGTATTATCACATGAATGCATACTCTGATGTAAGGGACCAGGTGTAAGTCAAGGATAGACATGTTTACTATACAACACAGTGAGCTGCTCTGAAAGACTTCAGTAAATGAAAATAAATTAAAAAGTCCTTTTACCATCTGCACCTCTACTGCTTCATTCATGCTTTTCTTTTACTTCATATACAGTATATCTCTCTCTCTCTCTCTCTCTCTCTCTCTCTCTCTCTCTCTCTCTCTCTCTTTCTCCATACACATACACACACACAGATAGTAGTGTCTTTATGACTTCAGAGGACATTACATTGATTCATCTCTTGGAGACTTACTCTAACCTTAAAATAACTAAGGTTAGAGTAAGTCTCTAACCTAACTAGTCCTGAAGCTAAACCTAATCTTTGAACTAAACCTAAATACAAAATGTTGTTTTAAGGTCCAGAGTGTAAGATTTGGGTGAAAGGGATCTATTGACTGAAATCGAATGTAAAATAATCCTTGTGATGTTTTCACTACTGTGTTTCATCTAAATTGTTGTTTTCTTTACCCTGAAATGGGCCTGTTATATTTAAATAAAGGCCACCCACATAGTAATATGGAATGGTATTAATATGGATTTCCAGTGTGTGTGTGTGTGTGTGTGTGTGTGTGTGTGTGTGTGTGTGTGTGTGTGTGTGTGTGTGTGGGTGTGTGTGAGAGAGTGACTGTCATTGTTCTTCTCACCTTTATAGTACAATATGATCTTTAGGGACTCTCCATTCATGAATCTTTTCTTGGAGCCTCTAATCAAGTGTCCTTGGAGGGAATTGGCTCCAAACAATCCGACACGCATCTTTCAAAATCTGCCACAATTGTACAAAGTCACAGATCTTAACACCTTAGATATATCTTTACATTAAAATACACACATTTTTCTTGAGGAATGAACAAAAGGGTCAAATGTAAACTGGCTTGGTAATGCAATGTCAAAGAAAGAGGTAAGAAATCCCTGGATGTGCCCTTTTAACTGGATCAAGAGTCAAATGTAATGGCCTCATCCTGCTATTTACATTTCTGCTTTAGCTGTGGTTTTAACAAGAGATTCTCACTGCTTATTAGGTACAAAACACCATGATGGATTTTCTGTCTTGAGGTAAATGAATATAAGTTAGGTATTGATCAGCGGATAATCAGGTAACAAGTGTTAGAGTGACGGCTGGATTCCAATTAAAACAGCCTCGATGTAGTCCCAGTTTTTAATTCTGTGATAGAGTTTGACACCACTGAAATAAAACAATTCTTTCGTTTGATTTTAATTAGATATCAAGTGATCTGAATGCAAATGATCCCAGCGATGACCTTCACAGCTAAATTTGGAGAAAGATGTCTTCAAGGCTTATTCCAAACATATATAGCTTCATGTTTTCTGTCGATTATTTATACAGGTGTGGAGGTACAGTTTAAAAATGTTGGGAAATAACCAAATTTGAAATTTGAATTTTTAGTTTATACCATCGATTAACATGGAGGAGGTGGGATGTATACTGCTGCCAACCATCAACAGACGATCAAGACTCTTTGGCTTTACACTGGGCGAGCAGTCCTGTAGTTCATCTTTGTACACAGTCCATGGTTGGATGTGGTGACTACCCGAAGAATTACACAAGATGATTCAAACTTCTCTTTTCTGACTTTTATGTTTTTCTAAATGGAATCAGACAAACCCTACAACTGGACACTCACGCTTTGCATCACTGTTGTTTTTTAAGATGGACCTGCAGTTAGTCAGAGCAGAGAATTCCCAGCTGAATGTCATGAGTTTAAAAAAAAGCTTGGACTTCTCTCGGCCTGCAGATAAACTGTTGATTCTCCTCTGAAGTATGTGAGTGCCTGGAGGATTAAGAGCTTGTTAGAAAGCTCCTGTATGGAATAACAAGAAAAGAGCAGCAGACCAAAAGAGAGGGAGGTGCATTTTCTTCCCCCTTAGAAAACATTGTTCAAAGTCTTCATTTCATTGTATCTGGACAGACATGGATGTATATATTGCAGCTGAATGGGTGGAAGCATTCAACCTCAGCACAGTATTTATAGTGTTTACACTCCCATCTTTCAGTCACACACTCCCGAGGGGGTTATATATTGACGGTGACTTTCCTTCCTGGGTAAAGTGACTGGATGACATGCTTTGTGCGTGTCCGCCGTTATTCAAAGGTGATGGTGATGCTACTGTCTTCATGTTGCCACGCTGCTCAGTGCTGGGGGTGGCATTACGTCTCTGTGATGTCATCACCCAGCTCTAACTGATTTTTCTACTTTCACCACTGCTTCTTGTAATATCACAGCAGCTCCTGCTGCAGGCTGCCAGGCTCATTACACTGGGGAGGCTAAAGCTCATTTAGTCCCTCGCCTGCAATCTTTCCTTTTCCTCCCTGGGTTTCTTTCATTTGTTTCATATCATTCCATTTAAAGTATGGCTTCATTTTCTCTGTTTTCTTTTTTTCAAATTCTGCTTTGTGTTATCAGCTTGTTTGTAAGGCTGTTATTTATTTTTTCAGCTGGTACATTACAAATGCATATCATCCGTTTTTTGTAGGCCTGCTCTGGGGTCTATTGAACACTATAGGTGTAATATAACCCAGGAGCAATAGATATGTGTTCCTCCCACATAAACAAATGCACACACACACATACACAAAGACACCATCACTTGACAGTTGTTTTCTCATGTACCTCTGAATGCTAACATCCCACACATGTCCTGCTACATGTCAGTGTAGGTCAGCTGTGTGTTTGTATAGATGCAATGTGTGTGTATCTCACATCATCATCATCATCATCATCATTCACCTTGTCTCTGCTCCTCAGCCTGGAGCTCAGTGCAGAGTGAGTGGTAAATTCAATGGTCACCTATTCACTAAATGTGTTCAAAAGTAATTTGAGTTGTGTCAAATTAAATAAATTGGTGACAATATTGCTGATAGACTGTTCTGGCATTAAACTGCACATAGAATGAATGAAAATACATCAGACATCAACTAAAAAGCTGTCTGTGAAGTTTTTTGGGGGATTTTAGAGATACTTGTGAGATAATATTTTTTTTGTCTGTTTTTGTTTTTTTGGGGGGGACAAATAGAAGCCAAACTCAACAAAAACAACACAACACACAATATGCCATCGAGCTGCTGAGCAATGCTAAGCCTGCTGCAAAAATGTAGCCTCGTTGTGTCTAAGTGGCTGTGGCAACTTTCATTTCATTTGCATTTTTCAGAGAGAGGTTTTAGGTCACGCATGCTCGTTGATTTCCACAGTACCTCCGTGCTGACACTTTGAAACAGAAATAGGTGAAGCATTAAAAGACACCACATCAAGTCAGCCCCCTCTGTGACTCGTAACAAGAGCGGCAGAAGCCCCTGGTGTGAGCTCGTCCTCATCACTTGCGGTTGAATCTGTAAATTGGGTCGGTCCGGGCCAAGCTCCTTTCTCCTCTTTTTTTCTTGTTGGGGTGTTTTTGTAAAGATTTTACACGACACTTCCACTTAAAGTTACCATATCTTTGCCGGTCATCTCGCAGCGGAAGTAACTCAGTGAGAAGAAACTGAAATAAGCTGGCCCATTGGCAGTTGCCATAGCAACCAATGTCATAAGCTATAATGAACCAAGCATCTGGTTGAGGGAGTAAACAATCATATATGTACACCTCAGAGTCACAAGGTAAAAAAAGTACTTCAGACGATATAGAGGTATTAATGTAAGATATTTGTAATATCATATACAATTTGACCTGGTCAGTTTAATTCATTCAGCTTTGGTTAAACTGTTTTTCTCTTTCATTCATAACAAAATGAATATATTATATAAAAGTTTTAGTCATTCAACAGTAAAAACCACTTGATGGAAATGGATGGAATAATGTGAAATGGATCAGACATCCACCTGCTCCACGCCACTGTCAATGTTTCACAATCAACTTGAACTTCCCTTCAAC